CGATGCAATTTACCAAGTTAATACTGATCAATTTATTGCAGTATTTAAGCTGAGAATTCATTTATGACAGTGAAATACGATCGCCTTACCTTTGGTTCTCAACGTTGTAGTGTTCGATCACCGTAGATTTACTAAGCGCCTCACTCATTAATGTTTACATACAAATTTCACAAATGATGCCTGTGTTATACCGTTTCTCTCCATTCCACGAACTATACTGTTCAATTTATTTCCGGTTCAGTTCGACGAATCAGTGCTTCCACTTGCAAGGATTTTTTCCTGCAGCAAGGAAATATTTACCTTGGGCTAGGGCTTCCCTGGGCAAACCTGGGCAAACTATGAGGGGTTATCACTATCAAAAATAACTCTTGATCGTGTGGGAAGTTGATTGGGCCGTAAATCAAATTCAGTCGTAAAGTTTCATTGCCCGTAACGTACGTCTTTACATCGAACGTGATACTTCGGGTCGTAAATAACGTGATACTTCGGCTCGTAATACGTAAATAACGTGATACTTCGGCTCGTAATAGACAACTTGCATGTTAGACTAATTTTTGATTTAGGCCAAAAAAGTAAATTCCCGTAAAGAACTTATTAAAATCAGTAAAACTGCAAAATTTGGTTGCGAAATGTTGTAAAATTTAGAAACTATAGCCTTGCGAAGTTTGCATATTTTCAGTATATTTGTATTACGTGCGGAAATTGTTACCATTTTTGAGCCAAAAATGGTAACAATTTCCGCACGTAATACAAATATACTGAAAATATGCAAACTTCGCAAGGCTATATTTTCTGCATTTTACAACATTTCGCAACCAAATTTTGCAATTTTACTAATTTCATTATTTTCTTTTTAACTGTTGTGTTTTATTCCCTTATCTTTACTTAGATTAAAATTTAGTCTAACATGCAAGTTGTCCATTAACGCCGGTGATACTTCGGGTCGTAAAAAACGTGATACTTCGGCTCGTAATTAACGTGATACTTCGGGTCGTAAATAACGTGATACTTCGGCTCGTAATTAACGTGATACTTCGGGTCGTAAATAACGTGATACTTCGGCTCGTAATTAACGTGATACTTCGGGTCGTAAATAAAGTGATGATACTTCGGCTCGTAATTAACGTGATACTTCGGCTCGTAATTAACGTGATACTTCGGCTCGTAATTAACGTGATACTTCGGGTCGTAAATAACGTGATACTTCGGCTCGTAATTAACGTGATACTTCGGGTCGTAAATAACGTGATGATACTTCGGCTCGTAATTAACGTGATACTTCGGCTCGTAATTAACGTGATACTTCGGCTCGTAATTAACGTGATACTTCGTCACTTTGGTATATACTTTATGTGACCCCTTATTATACTGTATCATAATGCTCTAGATACTCTAGCCCTGAATAACTATCACTAGCCCTCCTTAGCCCTCCTTAGGCCTCCCTAGGGCTCCTTAGCCCTCCTTAGGCCTCATTAGGGCTCCTTAGCCCTCCTTAGGCCTCCTTAGGCCTCCTTAAGCCTCTTTAGGCCTCCTTAGGGCTCCTTAGCCCTCCTTAGGCCTCCCTAGGCCTCCCTAGGCCTCCTTAGGCCTCCTTAGGGCTCCTTAGCACTCCTTAGGCCTCCTTGGGGCTCCTTAGCCCTCCTTAGGCCTCCTTAGGCCCCCTTAGCCCTCCATAGGCCTCCTTAGGGCTCCTTACCCCTCCTTACCCCTCCTTAGGCCTCCTTAGGCCTCCTTAGGCCTCCTTAGCCATCCTTAGCCCTCCTTAGGCCTCCTTAGGGCTCCCTTAGCCTCCTTAGGCCTCCTTAGGGCTCCTTAGCCCTCCTTAGGCCTCCTTAGGGCTCCTTAGCCCTCATTAGGCCTCCTTAGGGCTCCTTACCCCTCCTTAGGGCCTTACCCAAAGTATTAATATCAACCTCGCATCAGGATAATTTAATTACGAGCCGAAGTACCACGTTAATTTCGAGCCGAAGTATCACGTTATTTACGAGCCGAAGTATCACGTTATTTACGAGCCGAAGTATCACGTTAATTACGAGCCGAAGTATCACGTTAATTACGAGCCGAAGTATCACGTTATTTACGAGCCGAAGTATCACGTTATTTACGAGCCGAAGTATCACGTTAATTACGAGCCGAAGTATCACGTTATTTACGAGCCGAAGTATCACGTTATTTACGAGCCGAAGTATCACGTTAATTACGAGCCGAAGTATCACGATAATTACGACCCGAAGTATCACGTTAATTACGAAACGTTTTGAATTACGATGTAAAGACGTACGTTACGGGCAATGAAACTTTACAACTGAATTTGATTTACGGCCCAATCAACTTCCCACACGATCAAGAGTTATTTTTGATAGTGATAACCCCTCATAGCAAACAGCTGGGAAATTTGTTGCGCATGTGCCAGATTTCCATTGAAACTTGAAGATTTCCCCGAAGAAATAACGAGTGTTCGTGGTTGTTGTATATTTCTGAATGCCTGCTTAATCTTCATAATTTTTTTGCTTGAGACGAAGACAAAGTAAAATGTACTCTACATCTCCAGTGTATAGAATATCTCGTTTGAACAGCAATAGAATATTATAATCTTGACACAAACAAGAAGACATTTGAGACGCTAAATCTGCAGTCATGCCTGCCAATCGTCGCAAGCTTCACAGCCTTGTCAAACGCAAAACAAGGAGAAATTTGGGTTCAAACAGAAAGACGTTCAATGTTAATACAACTAACATATATTCTATACAAATACGGGTGGTTTAAAATGTTTTCAATTGAATTTTCAAAGCTTTTATCTATCGGCATGATAATCAAACTGTGAAAATGCCGGCTTTTGTTGACGCTTGCGAATGCAAAATAACTTCCCGTAAACAGCATTTCTACACAAAACTCTCGCTTAGTCTTCTGATGCACTTGTATGGCGCGTTTATAATGTCAAAATGCAAGATTGTGAATCGAACATAATGTCTTAAATCGAGCAGCGTTTACTCTAGTCGAACAAACTGTTTCAAAATGCAATCAGTACAAAGTATAAAGCCAGGGGCGGCGCTACAGGGGGGACACTCGTCAGCTAATCGGCAAATTGTTATCTCAGTCGGCAAAACTGGATTGGCCAAAGATACCCCTCCAATATTTCATAAAGTGTCCGCCACTTGCACACACGGTGGCTTAAAAGGTCTTAAAACTGTTTATTCTACCGATAAATAAAGGGGTTTTTATTGACTGGGATTTCAATAACTCGGACTGGGATTTCTAATAAAAATCCAACTGGGACTGGGATTTTGCCAAAATTTCAGGTGGAAAATGGGATTGAGACCCCCCACCCCGCTTCAGGACCCTCACTATAGGCTAATGACTCGGCAAAATTACCAAACAACAGTCGGCAAGAGATCACTCACACACACACCCCACTCGAAGAGGGTTAGCGCCGCCCCTGTATAAAGCATCACCGTTCCAAATCGAGAAATGTTCACTGGAGTCAAACAGACAAGCCAAAATCGAACAAGACTTTACCGAAACGAGCAGACAACTTTAACATTAGCGGGAACGAGCACAAGCTTACGGAGTCGATTAAGCATTTATAGCGGAGTCGAGCAGAAGACTTTCGCATTAGCCGAGTCGTTCAACACCACTGCAACACCCGTGTTTCCACATTAAAATGTGCAATTTCCCAAATATTTAATAAAAATTTCCTCCCGTAAATTTCCCGTAAAAAAATAATTTAGAATAATAAATTGAGTGAATTGTTTTTTTATAAGAGGAAACACGTTATGTACACGTGTTCTGTTCGCAATTCTTCGCATCCCAAACTGTTCGATCGATTTGCCTCGAGCTTTACATAACAAAAGGTATGAATAAATTATTAATAGTATCCATATTTGCATATTTGTAATATGATACCTTTTTGTAGTAGTACAATAAACCTTATTCATAATTCGTCAACAGAGCATCATATCCTATGAAACGGCATTGAATGATTCTGAAATTTGGTGCTTTTATAATACTCACAGTTTCCTAGGATACGGGACCTCATTGTGATTTATGAATAAGGTATGTGGAATGGTATTGAGATTAAGGCAATACAGAATAAGTTATTTCAATGCCAACTAAACTGTAACAAAGTTACAACAGTGTGTTCACTGCATTTTATTTCAGTATATGCCGACAGATGTCTGGGGTTGGCTAGTGCTTGATCTAATGAATTTAATCCATTTTTATTATATTATGAAAGTTCTATTATACAATGTTGTATACATGATTGTTATTAATTCACAAAGGGGAGGAGGCAACTGTCTGAAAAATATGAGGGCCTCAGGCAGTTGGCCCTGCATTTACCAACTACATAATTGGAGTTTTTACACTTGATAATTATATTTTCTTTTGAAATGATCATAGTTATTGTTATTTAAATTGCATGATATTTCAATTGTATAGAACAAATGAATGACAACGCCAAAAATTTATTGAGGGAATGTGCAGAGAATCTGTTAAATGCAGTTAATCGTCTGGAAAATTCCCAGACACCCAGTCAAACCCATACACCCAGTGAAACACAGACACCCAGTCGAGATCAGACACCCAGTCGAGGTCGGACACCCAGTCGAGGTCAGACACCCAGTTAAACACAGACACCCAGTAAAACCCATACACCCAGTCAAACCCATACACCCAGTCAAATACAGACACCCAGTCGAGGTCAGACACCCAGTCGAGGCCAGACACCCAGTCGAGGTCAGACACCCAGTCAAGGTCAGACACCCAGTCAAACACAGACACCCAGTCAAACCCATACACCCAGTGAAAGCCAGACGTCCACTCAAAATCACACATTCAGTCATGGTCAGCTGTCCAGTCAGACATCCAGTCAAGGTCAGACATTAAGCTCCCGTCATATACCTACTACAAGAAGAACAGCTGCTGAGCAGCACAGGGGTTTGTTTGGTTACAGACCTCCAAGTGCAAGGGCTGGTAAAACCAAACCACCCCCAAAAAGAAGGATGGTGACAACATCAACTGGAGATCAAATATCTGTGCCAATACGAAATACGTGGTCCCGTACGTTTATGTGTTTAACAAAACGAAATGCAGTCACTCCACCTTCAACAATGGACAAAATGAACATGGCTCTTGCAGGTTTGGAGGAACAAACCATTACTTTTACAAAAAGTGGGAACAGTGATCATGTTCACCAGAAAATCTTACAGGCTTTCCCAATGTTGGCTGAAGTGGGTGGTTATGAAATATTAAGGACAGGGGAGAGAAGTTCACGCCAATTAATGGTCATTTCTATCCCCCCTGTTGGGTACACTGTCCTGTATTTGAAGTCGACAATCGCATCAGCGAAAGGCTATATAAGACCATTGCAAAGGGACATTGTTTTAAAGCCAGTAGCATTAACAGATCCAGCTCAGAGCCAGGTGGGTGATAAACTGTCATAAATAACTACAGTGCATATAAATAAGCTTCGTTGTAGTTTTCAGCTATTGATACAAAATATGCAGACGATTGAACCTGTTTTCAACAAAGCTGTTCTGTTTGTTTCAGATTTCCATGAGCCCGAAAGTAGCATGTGTCAATTGTCACCAGGACATAGCGATGGACACAATGCGTGCACACCTGGAAATATGTGGAGGAGGGAGTTCAAGAGATTATGATGAAATAACTGTTACTAGTATTGGGTACTGTATTCCCTTTAGTTAACCACCTCTCAAATAAGCCCCTGTGTAATAAGGTCCGTGTTTATCATAAGGAATGAATTAGTTACCCCCCACCCCCCACTTTAGCACAAAACATCTTTGTTTTGATCAGATTTAATGTCAACTTCAAAGGAGGTCGCAATTCACCTGGTTGGCCTACACATTAGTGACCTGAAAAGATAGTTTTTTCTAAGCTGGGATATTAACAGTTTAAATCTATATCTTTTTTGTTAAATAGTAGAATTTGTATTTTTGTCATTTTATGAATTGATAAATAAGCACCCCTTCTCTTATAAGCCCCCCTCTAATAACTCCCCCCTGAATAGTGCCTTAAAATAGGACCTGTGGGGTTATTAGAGAAAATACAGTATAAGGGATTTACTGTGATACGTATATATTGTTTTCCTTCCGTACTGTTGTTGCACAGTATGTACTGAAATAAATTACTGTATATGGGAACCATGATGAGTACCCAGTATTGGGTACTTAACCGGGTATCCGGATCCATTTTTCCTTATCCGGTGTACTGCTATCTGATACCATCCAGGTTTCTGGGAAAACAGTATCAAACACATTCCTATGAATTTCACATGTTTTTTCAAAAGTTTGTACCGCAATGCAGTTAATTGACTATGTAAATTTCACTTAGTTGGACATTGTTATATTTTAGTGACTGTGAAGACCTGGAAAGTGATGAGATAAATTTGGAAACAGGAGGTATGCTGGCATATGCAGTGTATAAATAATTTCAAAAATATACGTGTAGTGGTAGGTTTGGCCAATGTACCATTTAGATAGCTAGAAGTATACAGTATACATAAATTAAATTTACATCTGGTTAAGGCCTTGTTACACGAGACAATTTTCGCTTCAACATGATGATGGAATTTGCTCCCTTGTCAACATTTATCTCCATATTTCTTTACATAACATTTTCGCTTCTTAAACGCATGTTGTGTAAAGAATGTTTCAAGAAAGTAGAAGCGCTGGCTGGCAAACGAGGTGTAGGGGTAAATGCTGTTAATGGGGGGGGGGGAAAGGGCAAAGCCCCCAGGAGATTTTTAGATTTTTTGTCTTATTTAGTTCAAAATTCTTGTTTTTTGGTCGTATTTAGTTCAAAATCTTTGTCTTACTTAGTTCACACTACTGTCATTTAATTTTTTTTCGGGGGGAGGGGGTGCTGCAAATTTCTCTAGGTGGGGTGGGAAAACTTTTTGGGGTGCCAAATATTTTTGGGGGGTGCGCACCCCCATAAAATCCGTCCATTAGTAGAAATCAGACTGTGCTGACTACTTCACTGTGACTGCTATTATAACATCTGTCTATGCTAGAAATGCCTTGGCAACTTCTGACTCGTACCCAGTCCCTCAAATAAGGATTGAAAAAATAATGGTGCATCACACAACTCAGTTCACTGATCTATATAAATCATAATTGACGACTGAGTACGAGTCAGTTGCAACTTGTGGTAAAAATTGCCTTGTGCGTGTAACATTGCCTTTACTTAATCCATTATTTCATGTAACTTTGTTTGCTTTGTAACTTTTACTATTGACTCATTTTAATAATTACTGTTACTGATACCAGTGTCCCAGGAAATTTGCCCCCCCCCCGGGCCAAATATCCTCGGGGGCCATATTGCACCCTCGGGGGCCCCACTCCCTAGGATATTTGGCTGGGGGATTTCGGGTGGGGGGGGGGCAAATTTCCTGTGACACCGGAAGAACTTGCCATAAAGGCACGAAGTCTCTACATCGAGTCTGTAAATTATTTTACATTTTTTAAGCTTTGAGTCAACTGCAGACTATTTTCTCCAACTTACCACCTGAAGAGGTTAGACAGGCAATGGAAAATGCGGATGGATGCATTGAAGCAGCAACGGCTACGTTGCTAGGTGAGAGTGGTAAGTATACCATAAAGGCAAAAAAGATTTTTTAATTTTTACTTACTGTCAAACACACACACATCCAAGAAGAATCATCAGAGCCGCCTGATGATTTCTCCTGGATGAAACAGCTAGGCTGTTGTGGCAACCTTGTGTCCCGTAACCTTAAGAGAGGATTGATGAAATTTCTTCTTAATTCTTTTTAAAATCTATTAAAAACATTGTCTTAATACGTAAATATTTACAATTTTTCCCGTTGCAAAAGAGTTGATTGAAGGGTTGTGCACAAGTGTAGCAAATGTTACTACAGTATCTCATTATGTGTATCATATTTGACCTTCTGTAGCTCCAAGTGAAAAGGGAATGCTTTTTAATCTGCTTGTATTTATTTAGATGATGATCTTATAATGTCCATTTCTGGTATTGCTTCTGCGACAACGACTAGCAAAGATAGCGCAGAAAGTCAAGGTTGCACCTTACATGAACTGAGAAAAAATGTCATTGATGAATCGGTAGTGCAGCGATTCGTTGTTTCATGAGAAGAGGGCACGGAGGAATTAAAGAGGGACATACTGGGCTATTATAAAGATAAGACGTGTAAACTAACAGCGAAACCACGTGTAAGATTTGAGGGCGAAGAGGGTGTTGGGAGTGGTCCGATTCGAGAGTTCTTCCTATGTGCCATGAAGCTTGTGCACGAAGGAATTGGTGGAACAGGAAAGCCAATACTCTTTTTCGAAGGGGAAGAAGATCACAAACTTCCGACCCATGATCAATCGGCGAGGTCAACTGGTGCATTCAAAGCCATTGGAAGAATTATTGGGCATTCTGTATTACACTGGGGCCCCTTGCTTTATGGCCTTTCGCCAGTGGTGAAGAGATACTGGACTGCATCAGCATCAGATGGTTGCGACGGTTCTGGCGCGGAAACTATTCTTTCAAGTATAACTTTAGAAGACATACCTGACATAGACCTCCGGGGATATATATCACAAGTAAGTATCATCGCTTTGTTCTATTAGCATTATCTTTCTCGCCTATGTGGCATATACATGATACGTTTTCCTCTATATCTTTATTTTTAGTGAAATTTGTATCAGTTATGGAGCTTTTACGAAGAGTAAAACAAACTTACTGCACTAATTACCATTTGCAATACATCTAGTAAATGCCACTGTTATTTGTAGCTTGAAGATGTTGCCCCAGATGTTAGAATCCCCGAACAACTAAAGGAAGATCTCACACCATATGTATTTGAGTCGGGTCTGGATATTGATCTTCTACATTCTGATCGAAAGCTAATTGCCCAAGGACTGATGATGTATCAGGTTATTGATAAGCGAAAGCAAGAACTAGACGACATATTGAAGGGTAAGCACAATGTAGTCACGAAATTACAAGCGAAGGCTCGAGATAAAACATTGCTCTTCCACAATGTACTTTAGTACATTGTGGAAGACCAGTGTTTTATTTCGAGCCTTCGCTCGCGAAAGTGGTACAACAAGAGTATTACTTGGAGAACCCACCCAGAATTCATGTCTCCGTTTTTTCGCTGTTAACCCATTAAGCAGCAATGCGCCCAAATGCGCCATACTTTATTCTTTTACTCTGTCTAACGCCAGACGATTTTGCTCGTCAGGGGGAAATTTCCCACTCTAATGGGTTAAACAATTTTTCAAACTTATCTGACCTTAAAACCCCAATTAATAAAAAGCAAAACATGAATGTATAACCCAAGTGGTCTATAATACAGTATAAGTCAATTTTCATATGTTACAGGACCCTATGTCTACATGTTGGTTTATTCCAGACTTCCAGAGTGAAAACCGCTCTGGAAAGGCCTGTTTATATGTTCTGGTGACATTAACTTACTGTGGCGAACAGTTTGTGTCGTTACATGTTTAGGTATGAACGAAGTCCAATTGCATTCTTTTCTGGCATGCTGTACGGTTGATGTACTAGAAAGTATTTTTCCAACATGGGAAAAACAATTCAACACATTTGATGAAGTGAAGTCTGTGTCGGTTTTCGAAGAGACTGAAGGTCACGAAAATACAATTTCCTTCTGGTTTCAATATCTGTCAGATCTGGCGAAATATGAATCAGGTATCGTCATGGTTACACATTATTACAGGTTTATAAGGCCTGTTTCGTAAAATTTTGCATGTACGTATGTTTAAAACAATGAATTAATTTTAAAAACTGATGAATATTCTTACATATATCTAGGAAAACCTACCTTGACTGATATGTGTTGTTTTTGGACGGCCACAAATATCTTGCCACCAAGAAGTTGTTCGCTACAAGTGAAGTTCGACTATGGCACCGGTAAATTACCGTACGCGGAAACTTGTTTTTACTCACTCACCCTCCCTACGATGCATAAAACGTATGAAATGTTCAAGAAATATATGGACATAGTGATGCTGCATGGTTCACTTGGAATAGACCATTCATGAGACAGCACTCATCTCAGATGATTGTGTTGCGCACGTGTAGATTTCGCACAATTTGGTTTGATCACTTCTATTACACGAAACACCTGGTCTACAGACCTTTGACCATTATATTATGTTGTGTTATGGTAAAATGAACCATCAAATTCAAAAATGTTGTTCAGTAGTTTTACGGTTTGACATTAGTAAGGTTTATTAATAAGTAATGTATAAATGATAATCGATAATTAAGAATTAACAGTACAAGATTAGGCGAGTGAAACTTGTACTGTTGATCCTATAAATTGTACGAGCAATATCATTTGTTCACCTGCAAACTTTTAAATTTATTGTGGAACAAATTGTAAACATTGTCCATAACTCGTATGGCGACTGTGCGCTTTACTTTATTGTTGCAAGTGGGTATTGACAAATTCGATTGTCTCTAAATAAATATCAATGGCATAGGAGTTACTTTCTCGTATTGGATCTATTGAGGCAATAAGTTCTTCATAATGTTCTTCGGATAATGGGCAATGTGTTTCAGGCACTTCTACTGTATCGACATCAATCTCTGCTGTAAGAGGACCGTCCCAGTCAATTCCATATTGTTCAAACTCCTCCTATGTAAGGAAAAGTAACATATTAATTTTAATACAATTTTACAAGTGATGAAAGTTTGGCTTTGTTTTTCCATTTCTTGAGGTATTATGTGAAACAACAAGCGAAAGGCATTCACATATACTTAAATGTATGTTGTTTACATCAAACCTTACCAATGTAGTTGGCTGGTACAAATTGTCAATGGCAACATGTTGGGAACCCCTATACTGGAGCAGACCAAGAATATAAAGTTGCATAAGGCTTCTGTTTCCAGCAGTCCTAATTCTATATTGTAAATAACCTTGCCTCCAACTCTCCAAGTGCTCGTTCACATGCAGCACCAATTAAACAATCCAAGACTGTTTCAGCACGATTATTTGTGTGGCACTTTAAATAGACTGGTATTCGTGTATAGCCGTCTATTCCACCATGTATTACCATTTTCCATCTGTTTAAAAATTCAAGTTTCGATCTCAATCAATTGAAAGATTCAAGATTCTACTACTCAGTCTACTTGCACCAAGTCCCTTTTTCTCTGACCCACTATAGTGGAAATAACATGACGCAGCGCGCAGAGGACGGCGTGAAATAAGGACTTGTCAACGTTGGACACAGTATAAAATACAGAAGAAGTCGTTTAGATTTCTCATTTTAAATTTAGCAAGTCTTTAACTTTCATGTTCTGTTTATTTTTATTTGTTCTTGTTTGGATTTTGTTCAATTTTTCTCAGTTTAGAAGTAATTAGTTGTTCATATAGTAATATACTCAAAATTTACCTGTTCAGTTTTGAACAGATACATTTACTGGGATTTGTGTTGGCTTTACTTCCGGTCTGATGTTGACAAGTCCCTATTTCACGTTGCCCTCCCCCGAGCTACGTCATATTTTTTGCAATATAGTGGATACGGGAAATGGGGACTTGGAGCAAGTCTAACTGCTCAGGTACGCCGGAGCGAGGGTAGGGCATAAGGGGGCAATGTCGACATAAGGGCAATTCAAGGGGGGGGGGATGGCACTATAATTCAACAAAAAAGGGCAATTCATCAAAAAAAGGGTAAACATTTTTTTCTCACCCCTAACTTTTAAAAATTAACCCGATTTTTGTCACAATATTCCAGAAAATTTAACATACATTTCAATATTTAATATGTCAATTTCACAAGTAATTCATACTTTTTAATCATTATTCCTCCATATTTTTCACAGATTATCGGGGTTTTTTATCCAAGAGCACTTTTGCCCCCCCCCCTCCTTTCCTCCTTACTAAAGGGTAAGGGGCGCGATGCCCTCTCTGCACCCTGCTTCCGGTGTCCCTGCTAATACTCCGTAGTACATGTGTACTTATATGTGTACACTGTATGTCAAAGGTGTACTTATACAGACATACTGTAAGTGTGTGCACATTTGTGATGTATGTATGATTATGATTACTATTGGTTTATGTACCAAAAAATGCCGGATCAATGTCAAAGGTAAATGATTATTGCTACATGTAATAATTTTATGTCAAATTAATGTCCATCTGACCTGTTTAATTTATGGTTTCCATCTATGTGCCACAATGCTAATGGTCCAGACACACTGTATTTCCTTCTAGGAGTCAAACATAACCACCTGACTGCAACTCCTTGGGGGTCAACTCGTTGCATGGATTGCCTGACTCGAATTTGTGATGGCTTCAATCCAGCAACAGACAATTGGGAAATGACTCTTCTGTAACCTGCATTTGGAAACTCCAGTAGGATTTCTCTGACCTTACTATCAAGCTCTTCATCTGAGAGATAAGGCAAATTATTTCTTATAGCTAGTCCATACTTGTTCATGCGCCTGAATATAGTACTTGGTGACACTCCCAAAGCTCTAGCAATATCTGGCACTGAGAACTGATAATTTAGAAAATAATTCAGTAGCTCCTGACTTATATCAAAGTAAGGCCTTCCAGCTCTACCAGAATGAACAACGTTTATCGTAAAAGGTCTTGGAGAGGTCATATGTTCTGCTCTTTGTAAATTTTGCATGGCTTCAGTGACAAGGTACTGGATTTCATCATCAACAAGGTTGACATCACAAAGGCGAATAATGTGAGAAGCCAATTGTTCAAGCCTAAATACTACACCATCTAATTGTTCGGAATCTAAATTTTCAATCTGTCTCAACAAATCCAGCAAAGTACCTCTTAACTGGACTCTCAATATTTCCTGTTCTTGATTCATTTCATTTTAGAACACACCCCACTATTCTCATTTGAAAACTATTTTTAAAGAAAAAAATTTATCCATTATGAAAATACAGTGAAGCTAACAGTTAAATATCAAACTACAGTGCACTAATATACATGACTATATTGACTGAGTATTGTCATAATCTCACACTCACCCCCTACGTACGAAGGACTCTGGGATTTTAAATGCTATACATTTAAAAAAAACAAGGTCTCTTGGAATCTCCAAGCAATTTAGGAAAATATCTCCTTTAAATGCGGTTTTACCCTATAGTAGCTCGTTTCAACATATATGCAAAATATTTGCACTCTACTCCGAAATACTAGCATTAAAATTAAATGTATATGGAGTTGATCATAATTGTTATTTCCGATGTATTCTCAGACCTGCCAACTCTCACGGTTTGGTCGTGAGACTCACAATTTTGTATGCTTTCTCACGGTCTCACGACAAAGTCTTTAAATCTCACAATTTTTGAGGAAATTTGTTTATAGCGTATTTATATTTGGCAGGTATGTATTCTAAGGTAGTTAAATGTACCCTAGTATCCTAAGCTGCCCTAATGTCATTGTATTTTGATATACTATAATGAGGGTTAGACTAAGTGTGTATTTATTACTAAAATACGGTCATTTGGTTCTTTTATATGTTCTATATGTGGATATTACATATTATTCATTGCACTGTGTTCGCATTTTTTCATTGGCTTAAAACCCACAAATAATTTTAGGTATTTGCAGGTGCCCGCACTATTTTCAGCGGAAACAGTAATCTGCTGAGGTTATTGGACGGAGCCAGAGATATTTCAGCGGTGTTCTGTGTGAAATTACAAATTGGCGGGAAAATTTACGAAAACTTAAATTTTGTTTGTTATATTTGTTGCTATCACAGAATGAATAATAAAAGATTATTGGGTTCGGCTTACGCAGGATATCCACATTCCACAATTATTCAGACCTCAGTCAATTTTATCTGTCTCAGCCTTCAGCTTCGACAGATATCATTGACATCGGTATGAATAATTCTTGATATTCTGCTCAACCTCATCCAATAAGTGTTAAATGTTGGAGATTGTCAATATTTAATATTTAACAGTTTATGGCATACCTGAAGTTAATTAATGCGCAAGTGTCATTCAAAAAGCATGCGGTTTGTACATTGCAAGAATTTGTGTGATTGTGTTGAGACGGGGCGAGAATAAATATATTTTTCATAAAAGCGTTTGAAATCTCTACTTTTAGTGAGTTGTTGTGAATATAGGAGGCAATTCACGACACAGTGGCACCACCGAACGGGATTAATCGTGAGTTAGCTCGAATCAAGAGCAAAAAACCCGTGCTTGTTGTGAAGAATCGACATTGTGAAATAATATATTTTATATATTCTCGAATATAACATGGATAAACAACTAAACGAACTCGCGAGCAAAGTAAAAGCCCTGAGATTTAGACAACTTGCATGTTAGACTAATTTTTGATTTAGGCCAAAAAAGTAAATTCCCGTAAAGAACTTATTAAAATCAGTAAAACTGCAAAATTTGGTTGCGAAATGTTGTAAA